CCAAATGGCCGTTGTCCCCCCCTGTAAAGCAATGATAAATTATGAACTTTGGCGACTTCGTACGCTATAACGCGATGTAATCCCGCTTTTAAATTTTGTGTGCTACCAGACGGTTCTTTTATCTCTTGGAAAATATTAATTTCTCGTTACGTTGGTACGTAAGTCTGAATAGTGACCCGTTGAAATAAAGTACTTCACGTCTCTTTCGCGGAGGTAAAATAAAGATCAACTTCAGGGGCCTATGAACAGGTTTGCCATATATACTTACAAATCATAAGGTACATCATCTTAAAGCTTTATCCTTGTATTTTAATTCCACCAATTCTCTATCTTGGCCCGCCATTAGGTTTAAAAGGACTGGAAGAGTTTGGGCTATTTTGTCAAAATTGCAATGCGAACCCCTGAAAAACTGTCACAACCCATTTAAGAGGCACTGTCAGTAAAAATCAGACATGATCATCAAAATCGCGGACACAGCCAAAAAATCGATTTCGCTCATACTTTCTATGTTGATAGACCCTTGTACCAAAGTAACCAAAACAAGGTTAGTTTTTTCTGCTGTTTTTTTTTTAGAGTAGTAAAATAAAAACGGTCGAGTGCGGATCGAGCCAAATTTCGATATTCCAAATATCGAACTTCTGTCAAATTCATGGCTTGCCAGCGTAAGTCGAAAATTATCCGTGTATTTTCCTTTGCAATAACATTATAGTTAGGGCCTTGAGTAATTCATTGATGGCATGAAAAGCAGATATGTTCTCGTTATAAATATGTTATGAATTTTTTTCTCGATGACACCCTGCGGCTGTTTTTCAATAGCTCTATGGTACCCTAAAACAACTGCCAAAAACGCTTGTTGGTACGCGAAGAAGAACCCAATAACTATATTGCAGATACAGTTTAAGTATAGACGTTCTCAGATAAACTTTCAATTTTTTGGGATAATTTTTGGTTTTGCAGTAACCCTAGTTTGAAGTTTGCTAATTTTCGAGATTTGCTGCAGCCGCCATATTGAAGTTTCAACAAACTTGACCATCAAGAAACAATTGATCGCATGTCGAAAAGTACATTTGAAGTTAACACATGATAAACTAACTCAAAATTGTTTCTGTTCACGGTTATCTAGAAAATTAATTAAATTGGTGGTAGACTCTGGCAGACATTTGCTTGTTGTCAGTTTGTTAACACAAGATATTTGTTGACTACTGTACCAAAAAGTTGCATTTTGTTGATACCTTCGATTTCGGTTGCAAATCTACTTTGTGGGCATTTCAGTTATTAGTTTTACTTTTCAGAATGTGCAGTCTACGAAAAGTCCGGCTTTTCCATGACAAACACTGATCAAATAATACATAATTTAAACTATGCAGCGTGTGAAACAACCTGTGTCTGTAATGTACCCGTCGGCAGACTGTTGGCACGCATGTTTGATGACAGAACTACCGATATTAAATTGAACATTATAATAGTTATAGTAGTTGGGGATTTCTTCAGTATTCCATCTTTTATATATAAATTGGGTTAGAAGGGACGGTTAATTAATGATGAATTATGCATCATAGTAGTTATTGTAGTTGGGGATTTCTTACTGCGCATTTTCGGGTTGGAAGGGATGGGTCATAAATCATAAATTGTAAAGATTACGATTTTCATTCTTTTTATTACATGTTATAACATATGTTTTAGTATTTAGCACGTGCACGTTCTTACAAGCTTTGTCGTAAGCTCTTTTATGTTCAACGTGAATAAATAAGCTTACTTACTTACTTACGTTTGTCCAAAGATCAGTATCACTGGTATGAGGAAGTTCGCTAATTTAAATTAAACCTTAATAATATTTAAAAAAGCAAGATATCTCCAAGTTTTATTCATTTAGTTATGTCTGCAAGGTTTATCTGAACGTAATCGTACGTATCCTACTCCAGTAACAGTTCTTTTTGTCTACTTGCGTGACACCGTGAAGTGTGAACTCTGGAGCTGTCGATTTCAATTTTCTCTGAGAACTTTTCAGAAAATTTTCTCATAACTAACATTGCGTCATTAAAATAATAAACCTTTCTCAAGCATGGCTTGTACGTTTTCATTGATGGTCGGGAGAATGTGGACCTGATCCAAGATGGGAAAATCAATCTCGTCAGGGACTCCCCCTCGTATCTTGCAACAGGAATATAACATGCCGTAAAAAAAAAACAGTTGAAGATTATTGGATGTGACACGAAAATTGAGGTTATTTTAGCAAAAATTCCCAGACACTGTAGAAGAAATGATGGCCATGTTCTTGTCATGGCAAGGGTTATTATAGCAATCTTTTATGAAATTCCAAAGGAACAAATAAGCGAGGTTCTGAAAAAATTATTTGCGCGCGTGCTAAAAATAAATTAAGGCGATCTGCTAAATAATACTTCCATAATATCTCGTCCTTATTTTCTGATGAAGAGTAGCTTTAATTTTGTTGATGAAAAAGTCTCCGTGAGAATGTAATCTATCTTCAACTAAGGGTGTTTTTAGGTTACCGTATTGCAAGGTAATTTACTGTCAGTAAACGACCACCAAGGACTGAATATCGTTTACACCATAATCTATGTTAATATCAACTTATGAAAGAACAGCAATACTGAAACTTATTCAAACAGTGTTCAAACTTTAGGCACTGGAAAGAGCTGGAAACCAGTGTAAGCCATCAGGCTTGATGAGAAGAGTCTAGTTATTCACATTTCTGTTTGTTTTGATAGAATTTTGTGCCCCAAAGGGCCCATTACCCCTACGCGGGATGGTTGAACGGTTTGGACAGAGTTTTGTACCCGGCCGTGTCCACTTTCACCCGTGTTCGGATCTTGTAGCTGGGAAGTTGGAACACGGATGAAGTGTATTTCACCCGCGAGAACACGGAAAATCGTCATCTGTGCAAAATACGATGCTTGGCAGTCAATTTTTCTCTTTTATTCGATTTGCTTTTTTTCTATAATAGAATAAAAACGAATTTGGCTAGTTTATATAAGCTATTCAAACGGTATTAGTTTAAGCATATCAAGCAACTGAGTATCATTGAAACGCTAATAGTATCAAGCAATTAATTCTCCCTACAAGAGCTATAATTTATTTCCAGTTTATAATATTACGTGACCTCACTAATGTCAGATCAGGAGCCACGCCTCCAAGAATGTTCGAAAAATGGAAAAGACACGGTGAAATTGACGTTAAAGTGTGGGCTTTTATGGTACACTGTAAAAGTAAGAAAATAAATGGGTTTAGATGGAAAGGAAGTTACTTTAAGGTAATTTATTTTTGTTCAAATTCAGACTGTCCACGTCTATGAATAATTGGCAATATGTTGCTCATTACGAGATATTCTTGTTGCTTGTCGAGAGATAGGTAGCCTACCTGAGCAGGTCAAGCAAAAAGCAAATCTTTGAGACTAAAAAAAACATTCAACTTTAGAATGTCGCTATGTTTAAAAAAAATTTGGGTTAATTCTTTGCACGCAATTAATATGTGGGTCTTTTTAAAATTACTTCTCCCAACATTAAAAAGAGTGCTGTCATGGCTTTGATGATGCCTGTTATTCAATTGCGTGACAGATCAGTCAACTGATCGAACCGTGTTGAACGGTCCTCGATAGGCCTTTTGCAGCTAGAGGTCACGTGCTTAGCAACACAAAACTGGAGAGCAAGCGCTCCAGTGAACAAACTCAACTAAGGGGTCAAGCATATCTGGCTTTAGAGAATAGTTTTCTGTTCATCACGCTCAATCCTTTTGCAATATCTACAAAAACTGTAAGATATTTACTAAATCTCTCGTTTGGACTCGATTTTTGGATGGAAAGCACGATATTTTTCTGGAAATCGTGAAAAAACTGTCACCAACAACCCGCTCGACGGCTAAGAAACATGGCGGCTTCGCAAGGTATGTACTTAAAAAATATATACTTTTTTCTGCTTTTTTTTAGTTATTGGACTTCGAAAGGCTATGAAAATAAAATATTAGATCGAAAATAGCAACCGAGCGGAATTTTACCGCATTTTACGCCCGATTTCTTACGATATTATGAGAGCAATTATGCGTTTGCTGCAGCCTTTTGCTGTACAAATGACATATTGTTATGCTTCCGGTGAAAGAGCTAGTAAACCAGGTTCAAGAAATATGCTTCTGGTAGATGAGCTGTTTATGTTTTATGTGCGACTCAAGCTTGGTTTATTTGAGCAGGACTTAGCACATAGGTTTCAGATACACAGATCATCAGTTTGCAGAAAAGTGATGACATGGACTAATTTTTCGTATTTTTTTTCCTGGGAGTCAAGTGATCTGGCCATCAAGGGAAGATGTCAATAGCTCTATGCCAGAAGGTTTCAAAAGGCTTTATGCAAGCACGCGTGTTATATTAGATTGTACTGAGATTTTTGTGCAAACACCTACCTCACTGCTACTTCAGTCACAGCTTTATTCTTCTTATAAAAGTACTACTACACTAAAACGTTTAATAGGTATTGCCCCTTATCGAGTTATCAGTTTTGTTTCTAGCCTCTACACAGGAGGGATAAGTGGTACGGGAATCACAAGGTGCAGATTTGTTAGAGCCTGGGGACTCGGTCATGGCCGACAAAGGGTTTGACATTGAAGATTTGCTGAGGGAGAAGGGGGTGGAGCTAAATATCCCTCCGTTTCTGGAAAGTCTGGAGCAATTCTCTGCCCAGGATGTTCAGAAAACAAAGACAATAGCAAGCTTGAGAATACATGTTGAAAGAGCAATAAGGAGGGTCAAAGGATATCACTTTTTTGATTCTGATGTGCCATCGTCTACACTGGGTTCAGTCAATCAGTCATAGACTAGCCTGCCTCCTTACAAATTTCCAGGGCCCACTAATCTTATCTAATAGTAACAATGAGCCATAGTGAAGTTATTGTACATACAT